GTCATGTCATGCACGACCACAAAAAAATTAATGCGGTATCTAATAATCGGGATAGGCACCTGACTGCAAGGCAATTACATACTATATATACTACAGTCCTGTACCCTCAACGCCTTTATCTGTGACTGTCTCGGATACTGGATTTGAGAGAGCATCCGAAGCGTCATTCCATGTTTTAGCGATCGCATTTCCTTATTATACACTGCTGTGTCGTGTCCTGAAACCTATTTCCAAGACTGCTTGGCGCAGACGGTTCGTGAATCCAGTTAGTCCATTAGGCAGTTCAACTCCCTATTTTTGTGTCACAGACTCGCTGCCCCCGTAAAGTAGGTTCTGATTTATAATCAAAGGTGCAAATGTATTCAACGGTTAAGGCATCGAGACTTGTGGATGGATATGACTGGATGATGCTGGCTAATAATAACAAGAGGTCTTAATCCGACCCTTCGCAGAACCTGGGCTACCCTTTAAAGAAAGCTTTTCAAGTGTCATCAAAGGCGTTTTGGCGAATGGATTACAAGCCAAAGCAGTCAACATTCGAGGACCAGGCGTTATTTTATATTAATTTGTTGTGCTAATAAAAGTCGGATTGGAACGCGTGGCAGATCACATACCGATTCTCGGCCTTACTGACGGAAGTCCTAAAAATCGATGGAAAATTGTTTATTGATGTGGTTTCAGTTAGACTCCACTTCTTTCTCGGCTTTTGCCCTTACTTGTTAGCTACGCTTGGCACTGCAAGACACAATTGATGACTAATCCCGATTAATGCCGTACTGCTTCCTCGGCCTGGCTTACATAATGCGCAGTCAAATAAGGGGTCGTGAAATTCTGACGTGTGTATTTCGTCAACTTTGCCCTATTTGAACGTTTCCTAGACGCAGTCATCACGTGACAGTTAATCAATAAGTAAAGGGTGCTTGTGTCTCCTCTTGCCAAACGTGTGTGCTGACAGAAAACTGACTCCCGCTGTTTTTTCGATCAAACTGACACTCTTACTGAGCATATATTTTAGTTTACTTGAAGTCGTCTCCCTATTTAAGATAAACGAACTAGCATAATATAAAAATATGTCTAGGTTAGGGGTCGTAATCACTAATCCCCCCCCCCGGCCGCCAGCACAAGGGAATAGAAACCCGCCCCTCCTCCGTGTGCCAAACGTTGCCCTGTGCCAATATTTTCGTGTCATCCCCTACCTTGACCACAGTTTTACCCGACTCCTTATCCTTATTTTAACACCCGACTCCCCACTGGCCATAATTTCGGTAACCTTTAAGGCAAAAAACGCCTATTTTACAAGCGTAGGTGGCTTTCAAGTCCTGCTGGGAATGTCATATAAGCGATCCCTACAGGTACTAGTCTACTTACGACTACGCTGGAAAAGAACTTCAAAACACGGCATAAAGTGTTACTTTGAACACCCTCCCTCCCATCCTCTCGACTTTCTTCGGTAGATGCCCAGTTTACGTCCCAGTTCAGTACACGTAAACGCCGTCCTTTTGTAGTACGGGGCCGGGAGAAATAGAGGTTATACGGTTTGCGTAGTCCAGGCGAAGGGGGAATGTAAATTAAACAAAATTAATTTTATATACGTAGACAGCCGAATGGCAACCTAAAATAAGCTAAACACACTTTATTAAAAAAAATATAAAACTAAAATAATAATACATATTAATGAACTGAAAGCTAAAGTAAATACAGGACTAGAATATAAGTAAGTTACACAAAACAAGCTAACTACATAAACATAAAGTAAACTAGTAAATATTTTAAATTGAAAATAAATCTTAAACTAAACAATAAATTAAACTAAAACCTAAATAAACTAAATAAACGAAGGTAATCTACAATAAACTAAAATAAGTAAACTAAAAAGCAACTTAAAGCTATAACAGACCTCAATAAATAGATAAGAATAATACTAAAACTGCACACAAAAATTAAATAAACTATAAATAATAAAATGTAACCAAGTAAATGTGCATTTTTGTTTTGGCGCGTTCTTTTGTTGTAGTAACATGATATTATTTAAACAATTTCTGGGAGGTAAACTATGCATCCTGACCCTCTTTCTGTCAGTCTCTCTATCTCTCTTGCTTTTCCTCCCCCACACCTACATACGAACATCCCAACTGGCTCGCTATTCCGGGATGGAATACAGACCTGTGAGTGTAAAGGGCGGCAGAAAGGCAGAAAGCGTGTCCTGTCCTGAAATTAGATCACCAAAGCGTCGTTTTCAAAGGGCTGCGGATTATTTAAAAGGCTGGACAAAG